CAAGAGAATGAATTGCCATTGCAGAGCAGAGCCTGTAATCAACTGAACCAGTTATTTGGTATTTTTTCAACCACTTTGCTTACTGGTTCAGTTGATTACAGGCTCTGCTCTGCAATGGCAATTCATTCTCTTGGCTATTTCTGTACAGGAGCAAACCTCTTGGTGAAGCACAATGATGTAATGCCACTGCTCAGTACTGGTGAAAGCAAAGGCCTTCATCCTTGCCCGCAGCCAGAGCAAAATTAAATTCCTCGATGCTTTTCATGCCTATTTATAGTCAGAGAGTATGACAACATTGATTGGTTCATAGATTTAGCCTCTGTGCATTTTACTTGGTCAGCCAAAGCTCGCTGCTGATTGGCTACTTTCGATCCTAACATTCTCAAAAATTCAAGTTGTGTTTGTTTAGCACATAAACTCACTCAAAACCTTAAAAAGACTTTGGTTATATTAACAAAAATTATGCATCTCAATCTGACTACAGAAATGTTCATCGAAGTACTAATTTTGTGTGGTTTCTATGAGTGAACATGTAAATACAGCTTAAAACTGAAAGCATGCAGGACTTTTTCACACAGGTGTATATTACTCCAAACATCTCAGTATGCTCAAAACACCTGGGTGAATCTTCACTGGGTGAAGATGGAGTGTTCATGGAGAGAAACAATTTCTCCACATGGAAAAATTAGTTCTAGCCCAATTTTGCTGCAACCAGTATCCACTAGTTAAAGAACCAATCATGTCAACCAAATGGAATTGAGGGTCTTTCTTTCCTAAGGAACCTATGTGGGGCAGGTCTGACAGTTGGTCATTGTTGTTGTTGGGACATGTCCAGATGTGGAGAGTGATGATTCAACCACACAGTCATGGAACTCTAAATTTCATTACTCATTGATAATTTTAATTCCTTCAGTTTAAAATAAGCTTAATTGTCAGATTAAAAAGAAGCATACAAACCTACTAATAATTATTGCAATAAAACATTAAATATTATGAGCCTAAGAAACAATTTCACTTATCAGTTCCCTACTTTTATCATTAGATGTTCCTTAGTGTTTAGATCTGGTCTCAGGATGATAATATAGCACTTGGGGAAGAAGATGCAGCTCAGCAGTCCAGCACTGGAGGCCAAGATGGAGAAGACCTGCACAGCCACCATGTATTTCCCTTTGGTACTAAGGTAGGTGGGCAGGAAGGAGACCCAAACACTGCAGAAGATCAGCATGCTGAAGGTGATCAACTTGGCTTCATTGAAGGCTCCAGGCAGATTTCTGGCCAGGAAAGCAACTATGAAGCAAATGGCAGCTAGGAAACCCATGTAGCCAAGGACAACATAAAACATGGTAACAGATCCTTCATTGCACTGAAGGACAATCTGTCGAGGCTGGGAGTACAGGTCAGACTCAGGGAATGGGGGAGAAACTCCCAGCCAGATGGAGCAGATGGTAATTTGGACAATGGAACAAGAAAGGATGATGGAGTTGGCCAAGCTCTTCCCTAACCATCTCTTCACCCTGTTCCCTGGTTTTGTGGCCAGGAAAGCCAGCACTACTGTGATCGTTTTGGCCAACAGAGAAGACACGGCTACTGAGAAAACAATGCTGAACACCGTTTGTCGGAGAAGGCAGGTGACTTTCCTTGGTTGACCAATGAAGAGAAAGGAGGACAAGAAGCAAAACAAGAGGGAGATCAAAAGTATGTAGGAGAGGTCTCGGTTGTTGGCTTTGACAATGGGAGTTTCTAGGTATTTAATAAATATTATAATAATGAATCCTGTGGTTAGGAACAAGAATAGGGCAAAGGAGACAAGGATAATACTCAGATGTTCTTCATAGGACAGGAAGGATATTCTTTTGGGGATACATTGGACTCGGGCCTCAGTTGGATATTGATTGTCTGGGCACCTAGTGCATTTTTCAGTATCTGAGAAAAAAGAAAGTAATATTTCTTATACAATCTCCCCTTTCATATTTGAAGATAGATCTTCTTTTATGACAGGTATTAATAAGAGACCAGAAAGCCATTGTAAATATTAAACAGGAGCCTATACGTATAAATATACATACACAATCACAGTTATATACAATTGTATAAAGAACATTGAAGAGGAAAGAGGCAGATTTTGTCCCAAAAAAGCGGTGAATTTAGTTTATATTCAATCTCACACTCTGATATCCTATTGATAGGTTTTATGGTGAGTCCTCCATTTGGTTTTCTCTCATCCCTTGAATCCAACTTCCATCCCTCCATGGTCCTCCTAATTAGATCTTTCTGCTTATGTTAACTAAAAATCTAAAAACACATTGATTGAATGATTGATTGATTGATTCTGGAAAAGATAATCAAGTAATGAATCTGCGAACACTTAGAGGAAAACAAGGTCATAAACACATCATGCCAGACAAATCTTTTTACATTCTTTTACAATGTGACAAAATTAGTGGACAAGAGAAATGCTATACTTGGACTTCAATATGGTATTTGATAATGTAGACCACAACCTGCTACTTGATCAGCTAGAAAAATGTGGGTTAGACAGTATCACCACCAGATGGATTTGTACCTGGCTGAGCAACCACACTCAATGGAATTGCATGTACATAGAGGGACATGAAAAGTGGGGGAACCACAAATTTCTGTCTTAACTTCAGTATTCTTTAATATCTTCAACAATGATTTAGACGAGGAAAATTGAAAGGGAACTCATCAATTTTGCAGATGACACCAAGCTGGCAGGAATAGCCAACATTCCAGAAGATAGACTTAAGATACAGAAGGATCTTGACAGTCTTAAACTCTGAGTCCTATCTAACAAAATGAAATCCAATGATGAGAAAAGTAAGGTTCTACATTTAGGCAAGAAAAACCAAATAGCAATAGCAGTTAGACTTATATACTGCTTCATAGGGCTTTCAGCCCTCTCTAAGCGGTTTACAGAGTCAGCATATTGCCCCCACAGTCTGGGTCCTCATTTCACCTACCTCGGAAGGATGGAAGGCTGAGTCAACCTTTAGCCGGTGAGATTTGAACCGCTGAACTGCAGATAGCAGTCAGCTGAAGTGGCCTGCAGTACTGCACTCTAACCACTGCGCCACCTCAGCTCTCAATATAGAATAGGTGGCACCTATCACAATAGTAGTAAGAAGGATTGATAAGAAGACAATCACTTAAATATGAGTCAGCAGTGTATTGCAGCTGCCAAAAAAAGCCAACACAGTCCTAGGCTGCATTAACAGAGGGATAGAATCAAGATCACGTGAAGTGTTAATACCACTTTATAAGGCCTTGGTAAGGCCACACTTGGAATACTGCATGCAGTTTTGGTTGCTATGATATAAAAAAGAAGTCAAGACTCTGAAAAGAGTGCAGAGAAGAGCAACAAAGATGATTAGTTAATTGGAGGCTAAAAGATATAAAAAATGATTGCAGGAATTGGGTATGTCTGGTTAATTTAAAGAAGGACTGGTGTGACGTGACAGCAATAGTTCAATATCTAAGGGACTATCCCCAAAAAGAAGGGATCAACCTATTGTCCAAATCACCTGAAGGCAGGAGAAGAAACAATGGATGGAAACCAAATAAGGAGAGAACCAACCTAGAAATTAGGAGAAAATTCCTGAATGTTAAAACAATTAATCAGTGGGAAAACTTGCTCCAACCCTGGAGAATTTTAAGATGACATTGGATAGCCATCTGTCTGAAATGGTATAGGGTTTCCTGACTGAAAAGGAAGTTGGATTAGAAGACCTCCAAGGTCCCTGCCAACTCTGTTATTCTGTTATGTCCCTTTTATCCTATAAGGTAATTTGGTGTGAATGAACAACAGCCATTGGCTAGAAGCAATTCTTCAAGCTTCAAAGAATTCAAATGTTCCAAAGAAAGGTTAATATGGAAAGACTCTTCTAAACTGAGAAATAGAAGAGAGGTTTTCTGTACCAGAAGTAATCTTATCCAATTCCCCATGACTTGCTATCCCTTCCTACTTCACCCTTCCAGATTTTTCCCCCTAATTTCTCCCATTATAATAGAAATCAGGCAGGTTGAAAATAAACAAAAAAACAGTCAAGTGTCAACGTGTCTCTTTTAACATGAACGTTGATTGAAATGTTTAAAATAACCTTAATTGTCAGAATAAAAAGAAGCATACAAACCTATTAATAATTATTGCAATAAAACATTAAATGTTATCATCCTAAGAAATAATTTCATTATCAGTTCCCTACTTTTATCATTAGATGTTCCTTAGTGTTTAGATCTGGTTGCAGGATAATAATATAGCACTTGGGGAAGAAGATGCAGCCCGGCAGCCAGTGGTGGGGTTCAAATTTTTTTACTACAGGTTCTGTTGGCATGGCTAGTGGGCGTGGCATGGCTTGGTGGGTGTGGCAGGGGAAGGATACTGTAAAATCTCCATTCCCTCCCCACTCCAGGGGAAGGTTACTGTAAAATCCCCATTTTCTCCCGATCAGCTGGGGCTCGAGAGGCAGAGAATAGATGGCAGCAGGGCCAGTCAGAGTTGGTATTTACTGGTTCTCTGAACTACTCAAAATGTTTGCTGCCAGTTCTCCAGAATTGGTCAGAACCTGCTGAATACCATCTATGCCAGCAGCCCAGCACTGGAGGCCAAAATGGAAAAGACCTGCACAGCCACAATGTATTTCCCTTTGATGCTAAGGTAGGTGGGCAGGAAAGAGCATCCTTGCCTCTGATGTCACCCACCTTCCTCAGTGGAGATGGTCCTCTCTGAACAAGGAATGCAGTCATAGCAGCAAACTGGCTCTCCTTCCCTAGTCCGTTTGTAAAATCCAGGAGGACAACTCTTCACACATTTGGATTGAGGGAAAGACTAAAAAGAAGAAAAAGGAATTCCAGAGAAAATAAGTCAAGAATAACCATCCATGGAAAATGGAGGTTGGCGTGAACATCAGTCAAGGAGACTCAGGGTTTCAATTAGATGTACTCTACATGGATGTATTTTTTAATTAGTTTCAAATTATTGCAGAAGATACAACTACTGAAAGATTCTTCATTTAGTTTCTCCCATTTACTTCTGGCATATCACATTGCAATTTTCTATTTAATAAAGGCTGGAGGAATGGAATTGAGAAAAGATTTGTACATTAAGTGACAATCAGCTCCTCACAGCCCTATTAACATGCATTCCTCCATTCTTCACGTATCCATCATTTGGAAAACATGACGATCTATTTCTATTAATTTTACAATAAAAATCTACAATAAAATTTATTCTAAAATATTTATTATTTTTTATTCTATGATATTTATTGAAAGAGAATAAAATTATGGTAAAGAAAGAAACTTTGAACCAGTAGGATCTGCAAAGATTTTTTTAGAAGTGCTTTTTCAGGAGGCAACTGGACTTTCTTGGATCTCCTTCCCAGAAGCAGAGCACTATTGCCCCATCCCAGTGGAATGAAAGAAAGACATGAGTTACTCTGGTCAGATGGTCAGGGTTCCAACTGATGCCCTAATTAAATCATGAGCCTCAAGCCAAGCTTCAAAAAAAATCCAGTTATTTATTAGGAGCACCATGTTGGCATGAACTAAGTGAAGCCAACTCTGAATCAGATTGGGTGCATGGGTGATGTTTTTAAATTGTTTTCCTTTATTTTTTTATTAATTACTCTTCTTTTCGCTTTGTAAGCCGCCCGGAGTCCTCCAGGATTGGGCGGCCTATAAATCTACTAACTAATTAACTAACTAACTAACTAACTAACTAACTAACTAACTAACTAACTAATTAACTAAATAACTAAATAAATAAATAAATAAATAAATAAATAAATAAATCTCACTTAATTTGCACCTTGGCTCAGACCCTGTTTCCCCTTCTCCCCACCCCCCAGGTGTGTCATCAGTCACATTCCCCATTGAAGCAATTTTGCGGGTTGTAGAAGTCACACCCTCTGGCCACTGTGGATCTCTGTGGATTTGACCTTGATGTTTGCCAGCTGGAATTGCTTTGTTTTGACTGAAGTGCAAGTTCCCATCCTCTTGTCTATGACACACGATAGCAATATTCCAGTATTTGAGGGGCTGCCCCAAGCAGTAGGGGGACGATTTATTTCCCAAAGCACCAGAAGGTAAGACAATGTGTAGAAACTATTCAAGGAGCGAGGAAACCTGGAATTAAGGAGAAATGTCCTAACAGTGAGGACAATTAACCAGTGGAACAGCTTGCCCTCAAAAGTTGTGAGTGCTTCATCACTGGAGGATGTTAAGAAGAGACTGAACAGCCACTTATCTGAAATGGTATAGGGTCTCCTGCAGGGGGTTGGACTAGAAGACTTCCAAGGTCCCTTCCAATACTATTCTGATTGATTGATTGAGTGAATGAGTGATTTAGACCAACCAAACCTGAACGTGGGCACTGCAATTGCCTTCTTCTTTGTTACTAGAGGACAAGGACCACCCAAATTTCTGTTCTACAATCCCCACCACTTGAGATTCTCTCTCTTTCTAGGTTTATCGGGATATGTAATTGCAGAAGGGACACAAAAGGGCCATAATCTGTGTCCTGTAAAATCATTGTTTAATTTCTCACCCATTTTGTACATGGGTTCATGAGCTTAAAACAGTTCCATATTATATCATCTGAAGGACATCTTTGTGAATAGTACTGAAAGCTCCCAAGCAGTCTAACAAAACTATAATGGCTATATTCCCCACATTCAATTCTCAGTGAATGTCATCCACCTTGTGTCAAGCCTGCAGCCATCTTTTCTTTTGGATCTTTGGCCTGCCAAACATTCTATTATTTTACTATGCATTTTCTATTGTGGGAAAATGGGAGGGGGAATTGTAAGGAGTTACTTACTGTGTAGCCATAACAAAATTCTTTCTAGAAAGCCAAGGTCATCCTTTGTCGTTGCACCTCTGCACCTGACCGGAACTGGAAGGGTGGAACTGCCAGCATGGCAGTGAGAGATTGGACTGTGTGATAGACTTGTGGGTGTGGGGGCAAGATCTTGAACTTTCAACTAGGTGGGGAAAACTGGGAAGCTTTCAGTTTCTGGTTTTCCCAGATGTGCCAACATGGCTCTTTTCATAAATTGGAACTTTGAGCAATACTTTGCCTTGGACTGTGATTTACTTTTGAATGCTATTTGGAACTTTGACACCTTGGTGAGCAGGTTTAACCCACTTGAAAATGCTTCAGCAAAGAAGAAGAAAAGTGAACAATATTTTCCCCTACCTTGTTTAACAATTTTAGGTGGGACAGATGATCTTGGTTAAGAATAAGTTTCTGTCTTTCAAAAGACCCCAATTGCTCCACAGTGACATCCATCTGTGGGAGAACGACACAACTCATGATGTTCAGATCTGCCGCTACGTCTCCATTTTGGTCCAAGTACAGTTTCCGCTGGGAAAGATTGCAAAACTCATTCTTCTCCAGAAAGGGGTGGAACTAGAATAGAAACATTTGAGAATTTTAAAGTGGGCAACTTGATTTCTCATTCAGTGTGTGGTCTATTCCCTTTTGAAAGTTTCTTCTAACTCTGAAATATCCTTAGTTGGGATTGTAGGAAATCTACAAATCTCATAATAACTACAGAAGTCTCAGTAGCTCTTTTTACAGCATAGAAAGTTGGTTCCTTTCTGAATGTACTTCTCTACTCATTACATAGCTGCCAAGAAAAGGTTCAGCACAATTTGTCAATCTTGACAAAAATATATGTTTGACATAATATCGTTGGATTTTTTTTCAAATCATCAGGAACATTCTAGAGCAGGTCAAAAGTAAATTGAACCAACCAACAAGTAAAGAGATTGTCTATAAACTCCTTCAAAACAGTGATTTACCAGAAAGGAAGGATATGTCAAGAAGAAAGTTGCCAGACTAATGTTCCCCCAAGTATACCAGACTGTAAAATAACTAGATGAACTGATCATTGTTTTTGTTTTGTTTTACAAGATTAAGAATAACAGAGTTGGAAGGGACCTTAGAGGTCTTCTAGTCCACACCCCTGTCTAGGCAGGAAGCGCTATACCACTTCAGACAAATGGTTATCCAACATCTTCTATAAAACTTCCAGTGTTGGGGCATTCACAACTACTGGAGGCAAGTTGTTCCATTGATTAATTGTTCTAACTGTCAGGAAATTTCTCCTTAGTTCTAGGTTGCGACTCTGTTATTCTTAGTTTCCACCCATTGCTTCTACTCTCAGATGCTTTGGAGAATAGCTTGACTCCCTCTTCTCTGTGGCAACCCCTGAGATATTGCAATAGTGCTATCATGTCACCCTTAATCCTTCTTTTCATTAAATTAAACATACCTGCTTCCTGCAACCATTTTTTTATTTTGTTTTGGATGAGAAGTTAAATGTCTTCAAGGGAAAAAAAAGCATGTCCAGTTGCCTCTTGAAAAAACACCTTTGTTGCAAGTCTGACACTATAAATCTCCCACCAAAACACTTTTTACAAGAAATTTAAGATGATCCTTTCTTCTTTCTCATGGCTGATATGCAACTGTGGGATCTCACCCTTTTATCTGATCATCTGAAAGAAGCATCTCTTCATCCTATCCACAAGGCCATTCCTACATATCATTACCTTTCCTTGTGACAAAGCTGGTGTTATAACTTGATTTCAGCAAAGTATTAACAAACTACTTTGTAGTGTGATGATAAGGAGTCTAGTTATGTAAGTGCTGTTTTTAAAAATGTACTCAATAATTTTCAAAG